TACCTTGTCATTGATCTCCTACCGTTCGGTGATCCAGCCCAATCTACATCTGTGAAGCCTGATATAGTCAAGTGACCATAATCTTTGTAAACAATTCCCATACTAGGTGAACCCTTGAGATATCTTATAATTGTAAACACTGCTTCAAGGTGAGGAACATGGGGGGAACTCATGAATTACTTACTACCCCAACAGCAAAACAGATGTCTAGACGAGTAATAGTCAAATAATTTAGCTTCCCAACCAGTCCCCTATATTGTTCAAGATCTTCAACTAGCTCCCCCTGATCTTCAACTATATTGTCCATTGGTGTAGCCACCAGTTTACACCCCAACATACCTGTCTCCTCAAGTAAATCCAATGCATACTTGAGTTGTAACAATGAAATTTCTGTGGTAGATCTCATGACTTCTATTCCAAGAAAATAACGTAGTTTACCTAAGTCTTTGGTATGAAATTTCTCCTGTAAAAACAATTTCAGCTTACTAATACCTTGTGAATCGCTTCTTTAATCACAATATCATCTACATAAACAACAAGAGTAATAATAATACCAGCCAAGGTTCAAAATATTGATACGCCTGATACGCCGGTAGAGGCGTATCGGGCAGTATTGGTAGTTTTTTTAGCCTCTTGTTTTTTTCCAAATCCGTCCACTCCCTAAACTGGTCAAAACCCTGATACACCCTCTGTAGGGGCATATCGGGAAGCTCTTGATGCGATACGCATCGGCCGATACATATTGATAATTTGAACCTTGATACCAGCTTCAAAGGTCTTGCAAAACACAAAATAGTCAAACTGACACCTAAGGAGACCAAATTCAACAACTGCTTCATTGAATTTCCCAAACCAAGCACGAGGTGATTGTTTAAGGCCATATAAGGCTTTCTACAAAACTTCATGGGAAGAAATGAACATGGGCAACTAAATACCACCCTATCCCAATCCTTAACCAGCCAATGAGAATGAGCATATTGAATCTCACCTAAACCAAATGCCACATAAAAAGAGTGATATGACTATTCCAAATATCACACTGCCAACAATCTAAAAACCCCATTTTGCCCTTCAATCCATAAACCCTCAAGAACTGACCACCATAATAATAAAGCCACATTACAAGGTTTAAAAAATCTCGCCTATCATCTTTAACTCCTCTTAATGCTCCCATTTGCCATTGCCATTAAAATCCCACTTTCACCATACCTTGTTAAATAAAATGTTTCCCAATTACACCAACTCATCTCCCTACCTAAATTGCCTTGACCCTTCAGAGATACCTATCCCCTTGGTGTCTATCCACTCCCCCAACAACTTGTATTTTTCTACCAATGAGATTTCTAGAGTTCCCCTTAATACCTGACATAAGGTCATCTTCCGAAGATCTCCACAATCATGTAAAATACCATTATTAACCRTATCTTCTTCCAATCTCTTGCCTTCAACAACTTTCAATCTCTTGTCTTCTTCCACTCCCCCAACAACTTCCTTGATCTCTCATGGTCTGCTATTTAACAATCTCCATGTTCAACTGCAGGTTCCTCACCTTCAATAATAATTCTGACCCTATTTTTCACCTGTAAACACCAAACCAATATCAAGAGGTACTGCATTCAAATCATACATTTCAATAAGGATTCTCACCTGTCTAATCAAAGTCCATAAAACACTTGTCAACAGAAACAAGGCAACCACAAGCATTTCCAACAAAGCAATGAACTCATCGTTGGAGGCTTCTACAACAAATCTGTCAACCGGACATCTTTCTAATAGAACCACTATAAAGTGGAGTTCAATCAAATAATCAGAGTATCAAATTTGAAAAATAAAATTACTTTTAGAACATCACCAGAGCACCATTAGAAGACTTTCACATTTAAAAAAAAAAAAAGAAATCAGAAAAGAATTCTGGAATGGAAGAAGAAGAAGAGAAGAGAGAAAGAGGAGAGTTTGCCGAAAAGATAGTGGAGGTGGAGCACCATTTAGCTTATATATTAGGGTGTTCAAATAAAAGGGGATATTACAAGAGTACCCCTGATTACAGCTTAACGGAGATAAACATATAAACAGGCCCACTAACAGCTCATATACAACCCAATAGCAGGTCTAATAGCATTCCTAACAACACTCCCCCCTCAAGTTGGGCTGTATATATATCTATCATTCCCAACTTGGTACAGACATCCATATGTCAGGTACCTGAAACGCCCTTAGTGAAGATGTCACCCAACTGATCCATAGAATTTACATAAGGGATACAACCTTCACCAGCTTCAAGTTGGTCGCAGATGAAATGCTTGTTGACCTCAATATGTTTTGTTCTTTCATGCATCACAGGATTGTGCGCTATATTGATTGATGCCTTGTTGTCACAATACAATGGCATTGGGCTGTGAACTTCAACTCCCAACACCTTTAACATATTCTTTAACCACAAAATTTCTTCAACTCCATGTGCCATGGCCCTATATTCTGCTTCCACACTTGACCTAGCAACCACTATTTGTTTCTTGATTCTCCAGGTTACTAAATTTCCTCTAAGGCTCTAACGAAGGTGCAATAACCTGTTAATCTCCTATCATTAAATGAGCCGATCCAATCTGCATTTGTGAAGACTTCTACTTTCAAGTGGCCATGCTTGGAAAAGAGGATACCTTTACTAGGAAACCTTTTTAAGTACTTCAAGACATGCTTTGCAGCGGCAAGATGAGTAGTCCTAAGGGCATGCATATACTAGCTCAACACCCCAACAACATAAGCAATGTCGGGTCTAGTCATGGACAAGTACGACAATCTACCAATAAGCCTCTGGGAACTTCCTTACATCAGAGAGAAGCTCACCGCCTTCTTCACCAAGTTTGTGATTACTATCAATTGGAGTATCTACAGGCTTGACTCCAAGCTTACCAATGTCTTGCAAAAGATCTAGGATGTACTTCCTCGGAGAAATAAAGATGCTTTTGTTTGATCTCGCAACTTCAATTCCAAGGAAGTACTTTAAAGGGCCTAGATCTTTGATATCAAACTAGGCCCCCAAGAATCTCTTTACCTTTTGTATTTCCCAATTCCCGATAATGATAATGCCATCCACATAAACTATAAGAATGGCCACCTGATTCCCTTACCTCTTAACAAAGGGAGTATGATCACTTTGACATTGTTTGAAACCAACTTGCTTGATTGCATTATTAAATCTATCAAACGAAGCCCTAGCAGACTGATTCACACCATACAAAGACTTCTTGAGGCAGCAAACCTTTCCTTTTGTTTCCTCTGAAGTAAAACTTGGAGGTTGCACCATATAAACTTCCTCCTTGAGATCATCATTCAAGAAATCATTTTTGACATCTAACTAGTGCAATCCCCAATCAAACATTGCAACAAGGGAGAGGAGGACACAAATGGAGTTCATTTTTGCAACTGGAGCAAACATTTCTATATGGTCAACTCCATATGTTTGAGTGAAACCCTTGGCCACCAACCTTGCCTTATATCTTTCCATTGAGCCATCAACACGAATCTTAACAGTAAACACCCACTTGCATTCCATAGATTTTTTACCCTTAGGAAGGTCCACTAAAGCCCACATACAATTCTTATGAAGAGCATTAAGTTTCTTAAGCATTACATTTTTCCACTCAGGAGAATTTAAGGCCTCTACAAAATTATTAACAAAAACACTAGAGGTGGTAGATAAAAAAGAACGATAAGGAGAGACAAATGGCTACAAGTGGTAAAATGACTAATGGGATACATAGTAGTGCAAGAATGGGTACCTTTTCAAACAGCTATAGGTAGATCATGATCACAAGAAGTAGCATTACCTGGTTCAAAAGGAAATGCACTACTCTTCAGGTTTGCCTCCTGGGAATCCGCTGGTACAAGGGAAGTAGTCTCAAGTTCCCCTTCATTTGGTGGTGTATGCTATTTTGGAGGATGGGAACAAGACCTAGAACAGGAGTAAACACGATGGACAAGAGCACGAACAAGAGAACGAGAATGATGTGATGTAACGGAAGGAACTAAAGACTCAGGTGTGGAAGTGGGAACCAGAAATCGATTCTCCAAAGTAATATTCTCCCACGGAGGAGAAGGGAAGAAAGGTTGATGCTCAATGTAAGTCACACCCCTGGAGACAAAAGTGCGATGAAAAGAGGGATCATAACACTTATATCCCTTTTGAGTGGTGGGATATCTCAGAAAAATACAAGGAATAAAACACGGACCAAGCTTAACACGATATGTAGACAAATCCTGCACAAAACATGACATCCAAAAGTACGGACAATGATAGAAAACAATGGGGACTTAGGAAACAACAGCTAGTGTGGGGCCTTGAACTTGAGAACAAGAGTAGGCATACGTTTTGATAAGAAATGCAACTGTCAACATAGCATCATCCAAGAACCTCTTCGATACATGCATATGCAACATCAAACTACGGGCCACTTCAAGGAGATGCTTGATTTTTCTCTCAGCAATGTCGTTTTGTTGCGGTGTCCTGGGGCAAGTGCTTAGATGAATGGTACCATGATGGGAAAAAATCTGATTTTGATAATCTTTGGAGTACTCTCGAGCATTGTCTGAATGAAATTTTTGCACTTCCACATGAAATTGTGCGAATACCATTTTTTGGAAAATCTTCCATGATTTTTTGAGCTTCATCTCATGAACGAAGTAAATAAATCCAAGTGTATCTCGACAAGTCATCAATGAAACTAATGAAGTATTTGTAACTTCCTTCAGCAATAATAGTAGTAGGGCCCCACACATCAAAGTGAACGATTTGAAAAGGAAATTCAGCATTTTATTTCTTGGAGGAAACTTTATTCTACAATGTTTGCTTAAAATACAAGTTGGACACTGAAGTGTAGACTTGGACATTGACTAAATAAAGTTGAAAACAAGGCTCTCAAAGACGGAAAAGACAAATGACCCAAACGGTAATGCCACAGTAAAATCTGGGCATTATTACAAGGACTCTTAGACTGACTCACAAAACTTGTTGTACTACTTGACTTCAGAGCTGCAACATCATCTAGTATGTAGAGACCATCGACCACACGTCCCTTACCAATCGCTCTCCTAGAAGTCAAATCCTGGAAACACAATAATCAGAAAAAAAATGTTACATTGCAATTCAAGGATCAAGTAATGCAACTAATAGACAAAAGATTGGTAGGAAATTTGGGAGCATGATATATTGAATGAAGAAGAACCCCATTCTATAAGGGCACTGCACCTTGGCCAACAATGGTGGTATGTCAACCATCAACTAGCCTAACTTTGTCTCTACCAAAAAGTAAACGATGTGTTGAAAACAAATGAGGCTTACTAGTCATATGGTTGGTTGCCCCAGAATCAATGATCCAAGGGTTGAAGGATGAAGTAGACACATGAAATGAAAAGGCCTAGTTACATGAAGTAGACACATGTGAGGTAGGAGTGATAGAAGTCTCCTCAAGTTGACGGAGAGTCCTACCATATTCTTCCAATTGATCATGTAAGGTATTCAATAATCCCTCCTTAGGTTTAGAACCTATGGAGACACCCTCTTGAGATGAACCACCAGAAACAACATTAGCTAAACTAGAACTCTTCCTAGAATATTGTGGTTGCTTATTTTGAAAGGACTGAAAATTCTTCGGCTTCCCAACATGTCTCTTTAGTGTGTCTAGGTCTGCCACAGCGAGGACATCTTAACTTATTTATCAACTTCCTCAGTCTTCTTCATCCCTGCACCACCCTTTTTATTTGCACGACCTCCCTTGGAAAAGAGCACAACTTGTTGCTCCCCTCTGGAGGATTCATGGCTATTCTCCTACTCTCCTCAGGCTGAACCAATGAGTACAATTTTTGATGTGATGGGAATTCCTTGCTCCCTAAAATCAGAACCCGAATGGGCTCATAACTAGGGTTAAGACCTACTAAGAATGTGAAAACTTGCTACTGATTTACAAGCCTTTTGTACTCTCTTGCATATGATTCATTCTTCCAATCAACACTTTGGTAATGATCAAGTTCCCTCCACATGGAGGTAAGAGATGAATAGTAACCTGACAGACTTTTCTCCCCCTGTTTACAATTGGAGGATTCAACCTGTAGCTGATAAATATGAGCATGGTGACTTTGGTCAGAAAAAGTAGCCTTAGCCTGGTCCCAAATCTCCTTCGCGGTTTTAGCCCACATAAAATTTTTCCTTAGATGGGTGAATAGAAGTTACAAGCCAAGAAATGATCGAATAATTTTCTTGAACCCACTTATCATGGGCTGCACCAGCCACTTTGGGTTGATGAATATCACCGGACAAATATCCAAGATTTCCTTTGGACCCAACATACAATTTAACATTTTTGGACCACTCCAAATAGTTCAGTCCATTAAGGACTGTAATAGCAACAGGGAAACCCCAGTTTTCAGCCCCTAGACTGACTATATTCTGACCTTCAGTGACTTCAGATATGGCTGAATCATCAGTTGACATTGTTCACACATGATAAATATAACAGCCCACAAGCAACTTGTACCAGGAAGAGAGAAACAACACTAACTGAAGAAATCAGGCCTATTTTCCAATTTACAGTCCACTGTAATCAGCAAGAATGCTCCAAACTCCTTTCACAAGAAGTAGAAAACACAATAGAACACTTTTGAACACCCCCAAGACAAAAACAAGAGGAAAAAACTTTCAGMTGAACACCACAGGTCAAACACTGCTACAATCTTGAACTTCTAGGTAAAGCAAAGAACAACCAGCACAAAAAACACACTACAGCTGAATAAAAAACACAGACCTGATAATAAGAGATCCAAGACACTAGGCTTACCACTGGCCAACTAAACTCTTTTTTTTTGAAGATAAACAAAAAAAGAAAATATACTAAGAAAGCTAAGAAGAAAAGATACAATGAAGTGATAAGGAATCACCCAACAGAAGGGAAAAAATTCTCAACTTAACCACTTGGACCCTACAAAACAACCCTGAAATCACCACTGACATCTTGAAAACCCCCACCCCAGAACAAAAACAGAGGACCCAAAACATAAACACACAAACCCCTTCCACCTGACACACCATTACACACGACATAATTCAAACAAACCATCCAACCCTCCCAGCCCCTTATCTTAAAAACAGAAAAATTCCCCGCACCCAAAACCCACAAACTGTCAAGTGAAAAAACCAAACTTTACACCTTTTCTCAACAGATCTGTTGTCTAAAACATGAGTCTCTGTTCTTATCTGAAAGGCTTTCTTTATCTTCTTCCCCTTCTTTGGCCCTGCCCTTGGTACTCCCAACTTTAGTCTTGGAAAAATTTTTGAAACTTGCATTGTTTGATTGGTTTTCTGTCTTCTGAATCTTTTAACTGCATTAGGGATTTTCCCCCTCATCAAAGATGCTTCTTGATTATCATTGATCCTTTCTAATTCAAATACTGCATTCTTTTCGAACAACTGAGTTGCACCTGAATCTTCTCTTCTAGAGTTCCCTTCCCCTATGCCTTCGTCCTGCTTCGACCTCACATTTAGGGGTGCAAATGGATCGGATCATGATCTGATCCAAAGTCTGATCCCATTTTGTCGGATTTGGATATCCCCCATTTTGGATCTTCGGGTCAGATCGGATAATAGGATCAGATCAGAAATCGGATCGAATTCGGATCACCCCTATCCAATCCAAGAAGATTTGATATGATATATATATATATATATTTATAAATATATTATATTGCATTTTTGTAAATTTGTTATATTGTTTATTTTTTTATAAAAACATGTATATATATGATGAAAATGGTTAAAAAGATACCGGTATTTTTTGTTTTTCTTTATTTAAATGGTTATATTTTAATTTTCTTTTAATAATTTATTAATTTTTTAAAAGTTAAATTGGATCAGATCTGATATGGATATCCGACTTCCTCATCGGATTCGATTTCAAATCCCTATTTGTGAGATCTGATCGGATCTGCTCTTCATAGTATCGTATCGGATTTGGATATACCTTGATTCGAATCCGATCTGATCCGTTTGCATCCCTACTCACGTTCCCCTTGGCCACACAAAACCATCGCTAGCTACATTCATTGTTGAAATGGTTGTCTCCTCTTTCTTCTCCTTCAACTAATCTCTAGAAATTTCTTCAACCTCCCTGAAAGCTTCCCTTGCAAAATCCTCCCCCCCCCCCACAGGAATAAAGAAAAAACCCAAGATTTTACTAACCTCCACCTCTTTTTCCAACACCATTTCCAAGTCCACCACCTTCTCAACTTCGTGAGTCTCATCAATAATTCCTCTGAAGCCACATCTGCGTCACCCTCATCACCGACCCCCTCATCTTCTTGCAAAGGTTTGGTTCTATATTCTTGTTTCCTTCTATAATCTCCTAACAGGGARTTTTCTTCCTTTTCACCCTTTTCTATATTCTTCTCATTTATTTCACTAGTGTTATTAATAACATCGTCCTTCCACTCTGGCCCGTTTTGAGTGTTGTCCCCCTCTCCCCCTCCTTCAGGTTTCTTCTTCCCCAAACTGTACTACCTACCTTCCCTTTTCTTTCCCCCACCTTCTTTATCGTCTTTTTAGACTTATCTTCTCTGGCCCCGCCATCTTCCTCTGGGTGTTCATAGGCTACCTCTAAGCAATTTCCGCTCTCTTGCAATTCCTCCTGAATGCAACCTGCCACACTCTCTACTTTGTTGATGTTTCTGCTTTCATCACTGATGCAATTGCTAGCCCTTCTGTCCCCTTCCTTTTCTTTTGATCTTTCTTTCTCTTTTGCATCACTGAACCTTGTAATACACCATACAAAACCATCCTTGTTCGGTTGAGAAAGCTCAACAACCTTGGTAACAACCCTCCCTTCTCTGATTCCCCCCTGAAACTCCTTTTTCTCCAGGTTCAGTCGAGTCTGATGGAGACAACGGACATGTAGCTACCGAATTGGATAAGGCCCGTGAACTAACTCCATTATGTTGTGGACCCATGGACTCTTGATTCAAAGCATCCGCCCCTGCTGATCGACCCACCTTCATCTGTTTTATCGCATATCCTATTTGGATCCAATGTGATGCCCGGATTTAAGATCTCAGTGACTGTTTGTTTCTCAAAATCATGAACCCCCTGATTTACTCCATTTAAAATTTCTTTCCTTTCTGATGATTTTTTTTTGATAGGTAATGGTAATTTTATTAATAAGAATAAAAAACACAGTATACACAATACAACTCCCCACAAAGAGGCACGAGGTGATTCCTTTGTGCTCCTTGTTTGGCTAGGAAATCTGCCATCCCATTTGCCGTCTTCTTTCTCATTGAAATGTGACTGAGATATTTGATTGCCCCCCTGTAAGGCCAGGCTGCCATCTCCGGCTCTTTTAGCCATCCAATAACCAATTTGGATTCACCTTCAATCATTAAATGCTCCACTGCCAACTCTTTTGCAATTTCTGCTCCTTGTAGTACAGCTTGGACTTCTGCATTAACTGAATCTCCCATCCCTATAGGACCAGAAAATAGAGCTACAATCTGACCTTCAGCATCCTTGAAGACTCCCCCTATTCCAGATGGTTCCGGATTACCCAAACTGCTGCCATCAAAATTTAATTTAATCACACCTACATCAGGAGGCTTCCATTCCACCAAAAGCTTGCTTCTGTCTTCAGAATTCTTGGCTACTTGCTCCCAATTCCTCCTTATATCATAGAAAGAGTAGGGTGAGAACAGGTCCAAGGATTTTACCCAACTTATGGCCCTACATAAAATACTTTCCAGCACACAAGTCTGATCCCTCTCCTTATCATTAAAAATTCTGGCATTTTGTTCCTCCCAAAATGTCCACGCCAAAGCAGCTCTACCACATCTCCACAAGACTCTTCCTCTTCTCTTTGGCTACTTGAAAGTTGTAGGATCAAAAAGTCTACAAATCTGCTTCTCCCATAAGCCTACAACAAAGGGGCAAGTGATTAGCATATGGTAACAACTTTCCTCATTTGCTTTGCATAGGGTACACCAGTTAGGAGAGATACAAAGACCAGTTCTTCTTTTTTTCAAAACATCCGAGGTGTTTATTTTTCCAAGAGAGACTTCCCAACAGAGG